AGGCGTTAACCTAGGCACGTATAACAACCAGCGAGATGCAGAGAGTGTGGCTAGAGAGAGTGGCTGAAGAGAGTGGCTGGAGAGAGTGGCTAGAGGAGTGGCGCGTGCAGCCATGCAGGAACGGCGGCGGCGGTGCGACCGGCCGGCAAGAGAAGAAAGGCGGAGAGAGAGAGAGAGAGAGAGAGAGAGGGCGGGGGGAGGAGTGTCAGTGTCAGCAGTGCTGACCGGGCCAGACAGGGTGTGTGCACGAAGAGGTTACGTAGCCACAAGACAGTGCGGGTGACGATCGGGTTGACCCACGCTCCAAATGCTTCCATGCTGCCACGCTTGCTCTCCATCTGACTACGTTACTTGGTTCCAGAGTAACACAGTGCCCCTGTCGTTCCACCTACTTTCACCCACGCGCGGACTGGCGCATCCTCCTCTACCTGTCCACCGCCCCAGATTGTGCTCTACACCCACGGCACAGTATTCTTGTTAACAGACGTACCCCTCCACTCCACCACCACCACCACCACCACTACCATCACCATCACCAATGGCAAACGCACTCGCTGGCGGGGATGGCATCATGGGCAACGTGGGCGGATTCCCCCTCGAACAGTGGTTCTACGAGATGCCCGTCTGCACCCGCTGGTGGATGACCGCGGCTCTCAGCGCGAGTGTGCTGGTCCAGTGCCACATCCTCTCGCCCTTTCAGCTCTTCTACAGCGTTCGCACCGTCTTCTTCAAGAGCCAGTACTGGCGCTTGCTCACCACTTTCTTCTACTTTGGGCCGCTGAGCCTCGACCTGCTCTACCACATCTTCTTCCTCCAGCGCTATTCCCGCCTGCTCGAAGAGGCTTCTGGCCGTTCGCCCGCCCACTTCTCCTGGCTCCTCACCTTCACTGCCACCATGCTTCTTTGCATCGCCCCCATGTTCTCCATGGCCTTTTTGGGTTCCGCTCTCTCGAGCACCCTCATCTACATCTGGAGCCGGAAGAATCCAGATACCATGCTCAGCTTTCTGGGCCTCCTGGTATTCAAGGCCCCATATCTGCCCTGGGTCCTATTGGCCTTTTCCCTCATCATGCATGGGACCGTACCCAAGGACGAAATGTGCGGTATCGTAGTCGGCCACAGTATGTCTTCTCTCATCCGCATCTGATGGTATTGTTGCTAATCACAACCCACACAGTCTGGTACTACTTCAACGACATCTACCCGCCGCTGCACAACAACCACAGCCCTCTCCACCCGCCCTCCTGGTGGATCCGACTGGTCGAGGGGCCTCCTGCGCCCACGGAAGAAGCCGTCATGGACGCACCGACCGAGACGGAAGCAGAAGTCGGACCGGCACAATAGACACGAGCATTGGCAATTGGCGTTTTGGCGAATGATTATTATGGCGAGAGATACCCTAGTCTACATGGGCAACATGGACATTTGCATACCCCAGTACAAATTCGCATCATGTGCATACCGGTACAGATTAGCAGCGAGGGCTTAGACTAGGCAGATAGGTAGCACAATGGATCGACCAACTCATAGACTCATCCACTTCTTCCACCCCGCATTCTCGCTTCTGGTGCCCAGCACCACGACGGAATCCAGTCGTTGCTCTGCACCTGCGTTGGGAATTGAGGCTCCTCTGGCTGGGCAGGCCGATAGTCTATCCCGGGATGCGGGACAGCTCCTTCCTGTTTGGGCTAGTACCGCCGGACCTGCATACCATCACCACCTCAAGCCTTCAACCCAGTCCGTCCTCTGGGCCATGGGACGGACATGGCCGATGTCGTCGATAAGTGCTTGCACTAGCCGTCCTTGATAACAGCCGGGCCGGGCTCGACCTTGTACTTAATCATCTCTCATCTCCTGTCCGTCGCAATGTGATCGATCCTCAGGTAACCACCAGTACCGTACCCGTAGCCGTGGGGGATCACTCGAAATCACCACATCCTTGCCATGGCCCCTCTCAAGATGACTGTTCTGCCATGGCTGGCAGCGTTGCCTATGGCCTCTGCATGGGGCGCCCTAGGCCATACCACGGTAGCTTACCTCGCCCAGAATCTCGTCTCCCACAAGACGGCCAAATTCGCTCAGCAGCTCTTGAACGACACTTCGCCTACCTATCTCGCCAGTGTTGCAACATGGGCTGACAGCTACCGGAACGAGAAAGGCGGGGAATTCTCCTCGGTAAGTCGTCGTCATTGTCGTCATCGCATGTCTTGGAAAATCAACATCTCTCTGATTCACCACTGACCTCGAAGATGTATAAACACAGGTGTACCACTACATTGACGCCCTAGACAACCCGCCCACAAGCTGCAACGTCAACTATGAGCGCGACTGCGCCGAAGAAGGCTGCATCGTCTCTGCCATCGCCAACTACTCCAGCCGCGCCGTGACCCCCTCCATCGGCCTACTCGAGCAGCAAAAAGCACTGAAATGGGTGATCCACTTCATCGGCGACATCCACCAGCCCTTGCACGTCGAAAACTATGCACTTGGCGGCAATCAAATCAACGTCACCTTTGCCGGCGCCAGGACCAACCTCCACGCCATCTGGGACACGGCGATTCCGCAAAAAGCCATTGGCAATTTCTCGCAGGCTACAGCCGCGTCGTGGGCTGCTAATCTAACGGCGGAGATTAAGCATGGGCGCTACAGGAAGGAATCCAAGACCTGGGCCAAAGGCCTCAAGGTGAAGAATCCAATCGACACAGCCATGATTTGGGCGAGCGACGCCAATCAATTCGTCTGCTCGACTGTAATGCCCGAGGGCCCGGACGCTGTGTTCGGCAAGGAATTGTCTGGCGCGTATTATGAGACTGCGATTCCGGTTGTCAGGAAGCAGATTGCCAAGGCTGGGGTGCGATTGGCGGCTTGGTTGGATGCTGTGGTCGAACGGGCGGAGAAGGGCGGGTATGGACAGTTTGGGGCGGAGAAGGGCGGGTATGGACAGTTTGAGGCGGAGAAGAGGGTAGTGCGGAAGGAGACTGAGTTGGAGCCATGGATGCGGGAGGCCAGAAAGGCGAGGAGGGATTTTGGGGGCGACTGTGGGTGTACAGTGGAGGGGCATGGTCACTAGATGGTGCTTTTACGGCTTTGGCTGGTTGGTTGGTTGTGTATTGTAGTTCTAGTTGTTGTTGTCGTAGCATGTAGAAAAAGGTCATGATTCAATGATGGAAAACAGTTTTACATGACGGTGGTGAACATACCCTACGAAGATTGAGCAAATACCTTTCGCAAAAGGTTTCGCTGATATCTTATAATCTCGACAGTAAGAAAGAATCCGTCGCTAAAGGGTACTTTATCTACCTATCCCAAACAGTGTACAGAGACAGTCACACACAGTCTCAGATAATGAAGACAATGGACACGGGCGGTGGGTCACTGTGGTAGCGAGGATGGGCATGTGTATGTGATTTGCTGGTTTGGAGTCTGGGGAGGGGGGTGTTGGGTACGTTTGGTTGGGGATTACGAATTAGTGGGCTTGTGTATGGAGGGATCACGGGGGATGGGTGAATGTTATGTAGTCTTGATGTAGGGTGACGATTGCTACTGCGTACCGTATATGCCGCCAGATCAGTGGTACTGTACTGATATCATGTCTTTGGTATGATAACCCGTAGAAGATGTCCCCATCAGATATTGGATCCAGTCCGAAGAGAAGTCTAGTTCTCGGCTACTCTAGCTAGAGTATGTGTAGTAGTAACAACCCCTACATAGTTTTCAAGCTTTTCATCCTTTTCCACGTGACAACGTGTACCCTGACGTCATGACTAATAGCACATAAGGTATCGCCCTCAACCATGAAGTGAACACGAGTAATCAATCATCCCCATAGCCTCACATCTCATACAACACGTACCCCCCCTTTTAAAAAACCTCCCACGTCCCAAGCGAAAACAAAAACAACAAACCACACCACCCCTAACAATGCCCCATCCACCACCCCCAAACCCATACACCCCTTTCCAAAACCACCTCCTCCACTTCAGCACCCCTCCCCCCTCCCCCCGCCTAACCCTCCCCTCCACCCTCCGCGCCTCCCTCACCCTCGGCCTCAACCTCCCCCTCTCCCTCCTCCTCTCCCTCGCCCTCCGCATCCTCTACACCCCCCTTCCCAACTTCTGGACACCCATCCACATCCAACACATCCCGCCCTCCTCGCACAGAACGCAACTCTCGCACGCCGCATTACCGCGCGGAAAACCCGGTTTTAGCTGCGCGGAGTTACTCGCGCTGCTGGATGGGGAGGAGGGGGCTGGGGAGCGCACGAGCTGGGTGGTGCGGAAAATCAATCAGATGCATGTCCTTGGGTTTTGGAGTATGGCGGCGGATGCGCATACGCATGTTGTGGCTAGGGGGGATGTCGAGGCGTTTCAGAGGGGGGATTGGGAGGCGGCTGTTGTGCGGCGGAGGAGGGGGAGGGCTGATGTGTTGCCGTTTTGGAGAGGGGGGCCAGTTTGGGTTGCGGGGCATAGTTGGGCGGTGGGGAGGTTGTTGGGGGTTAGGGTGTATGACAGTGAGGGTAAGGAGGGAGTAGAGAGGAGGGAGTAGAGAGGAGGGAGTAGGGGGCTCCCCAGTTTTGGTAATGTGGATGTGGGGTTGGGAAAGGGAGTTGCGGTTGTGAATGGACGCAGAATTTTGAATCCGTGCAGAACTTGTCAACAGAGTCAATTTCGTCGGATTCAGCAACATGGGAATCAACACAAAAGCCAGTGTGGTAAAGGTGCGTAAACTTGACATTCGGGGGGTATACTACATCTCAAACTCATGAACCTCTTGGTCACATCATCAGCTCGACCTCCTCACCTCCATCCCACCCACTGCATCCCCGCTCATGGAAAAAAATGACATTATCATGTCCACTTCATCCAAGGCATTCCCGCTCCCATTATAATCCACATCATCCCCTCAAACATACGTGCGTATATATATATATACTCTTCTCAAACTTAAACAGCCTTGGTGGGCATCTGCTCATCATGCTGCACACTCCTCTTGCGCTCCTGATTCTGCGCAATATCCGTAAGACTCATCCCACGGTTCTTCTCATGATCAACATCGGCAAACGAGACCTGGGGCACAAACGTCTTGCTCTTCCACGCCTGGGACACAACACCGTACAGCTCGTCGACTTGCTCGAGCGACAGACCCTTGGTCTCGTAGATCATGAAGTAGACGAAAGCGATGCAGACGAAGCAGAAGGAGCCCCAGACGAAGAAGACCTTGGATTCGAGGTTGGCGTGTTCTTCGTCGACCATGTAGGGGGTGGAGTAGGCGATAGCCCAGTTGAGGAGCCAATTGCTGGTGGGATACGTTAGTTGGGTTGCTTGAGGTTATGGGGCTCTGGTGAGCAACTTACGAGGCGGTGGTCATGGAGAGACACTTGGCACGAGCCTTGAGGGGGAAAAGTTCACCGGTGACGACCCAGGCAACGGGACCCCATGAACAAGCGAAGAAGAAGATGTAAATGCACACAAACTGATTGAACAGGTTAGTCAAGGAATCATGCAGAGTGTTGGGTCTCCAAAGAATGGAAGAATGAACTTACGGCAATGGCGGCTTGTTGAGCGGGAAGGTCAGTTGTTCCAGCAACGGTACCGGTGATGGCGACAATGTATTGACACACGCACATGCCAATGGCTCCGAAGAGAAGGAGGTTGCGACGTCCAAGGCGTTCCACCATCCACAGACCGGGCAGAGTAGAGGCAACGTTCACGCAGTTGGTGATGACGGAGATGATGAAGGGGTCCCTGAAACCAGCGTTCTGGAAGTACTGTGTTCCGTAGTCTGAATAGACGTTAGCTCCAATGTTCGTATGATACCTCAGGTTAGCAAGTCTAGGGTTACCCACAGAAGATGAAGTTGACACCAGTAAGCTGTTGGAGGGATTGCAACAAGCATCCGGTGAGGAGACGCTTGCCGAGTGTGCCCTTCACGGTGTCGAGGTAAGTGGATTTACCGAGCGACATCTCGTACAGGTGGTTGGCCTGGACCTCGTTGAGTTCCTCCACGACGGCGGGGTGGTCAACGGGAAGGCGGCGCAGCTTGCCCAAGCTCTTTGCGGCAGCTTCGTACTTGTCCATCTTGATGAGGTAGCGCGGTGTCTCGGGAAGGAAAAACAGTCTATGCCAAAAAAATTAGCCTTGCAATTATTACTGCTGCTGGACATAACTTACCCAACGACGACGATGATCGACCACAAGAACTGGACTGCGATTGGAATACGGTAAGATCCAGAATCAGTGCGGTCCTTGGTGGAGTTGTTCACAATGGCTGCGAGGAAGAGACCAATGGTGATAGCAAGTTGGTAGGCACCGACAATGGTTCCACGAATCCACTTCGGCGAAGTCTCGGACTGGTACATGGGAACTGAAATCGTGTTAGAACCTACTGACAACAGGATGTATTGAGAAGTTAAAGACTTACTGAGAGCGGAGATGAGACCAACTCCGTAACCAGCGAAGAAACGACCAGCAATGAACAGGGGCTGAGAAGTGGAGGCAGTTTGCATGATAACACCAGCGTTGAAGACAACACCAGCAGAAAACATAAGACCAAGGCGACGTCCCATCCAGTCACCGACCGGTGCGGCAGTGAGAGCTCCGAAAAAGGTACCAGCAGACAGAATAGAAACGATTAGAGAGTCCTCACTCGCTGTGAGGTTGCCATCGGCCTGTGTAGCGAATTCGCGCTTCCAGTATGGCATAGCCAGGATACCTGAGATGGTACCAGTATCATATCTGACAAAAAATGTCAGTGTTGCTCGTTCAGAAACGTCAAGCAATGTATGCTCACCCGAACAGGACACCACCAAAGGCGACGAAGAGACCAATGCAAATAGCAGGCCACGCCTTACCAGGCGTGTCTGGCGGTGGCCTAAGCATCAAACCGCCCATGATGTCTGTGAGTATTCGAACGAGAGGATCTACGGGTGGGTGATTGTAAAGGCAGAGTCGCAGTCACAGAGTGAAAGACGCGCGTGGAATAGTCCTCCCAAACCAGCGAGCACGGCACGCGCTCTTTATCTGAGCAGCTAGCCCTTCTACTTCACCTACCCTTTACCTAGTTCAGCAGCCGCCTCTCCATGGGAGCAACCTCGGTCCCCGCAAAACTAACAGAGACCCTTGTTCCCTGCCCTACACTGCTCCGAACCCCCTCCAAGTCCCCGGGGTTGTCCCCAAGTTTGGTGCCATACCCACTTCCGCTGCCAATAATATGCCCAGCCCAGGCGGCGCAGGCAAAACCTTTTGACCCAGATGCATGATGCTGGTGATCTTTGCACCACTGCCGTGGACGGCTAGAACACGGCGCCATTTGCCCAATGACCCATGGTGTGATAGAGCCATGATGTACTCGATCGCATGCGCTGGCCACTCATCGCTCGTCTCGGCACAGTTAACAAAGCAGATGTAACGATTCCCGTTAGACGATCCCAAGGACGGGTTCGTCCAAACTAAGCGAGTCCCGGCGCCCCCAAAAGCCCAAGGAATGCAGACTTGGATGCTCGAGCAAGGTGGAGACGTCAGCCAAGCAGCGTCCAGGTCGCCACCATCGCATGCGATAGGCGTGATGTGTCGAGAGGGAAACAAGGGAAACTGCTTGGAGTCTCAACTCATGGTGCCCATACGATGGTTAGCAACGCGACAGAAAACGTGCCGCCGAATCGTGCGGAGTTGAAACAAGGGCTTCGGCCCGATTGGGCATCTTTTTTTCCCTCAGCTTGAAAAGTCGGAGACCCCGCTGGGGGGAAGGAAGCGTTCCTGGCTTCCCACTGCCTAGACTGGAGAAGCATGTAACGGAAGGATTTTCGGCCGGCTCAGTGCTGACGGCAAGTCCACGAGTCCACGACACAAGGGCACAAGGGTCGGCTTGGAATCTGGATGCATCACAAGAGAGTTTGTACCTAGTCGTCGACATGCGGCCCCGGACGCCGCAACCAGCGCCACGAATGCCGAAACGAGCCTCCGTCTATATCACCCCCATAGGTAGTCCGCTTCAACGGCGCAAGTCTGTGGCGTGAACCTTCTACACAGTACGCACATGCAGAGTACCTATGCACTTTATGTGTGTCCATGTACATCGAGGCCGCAATGGCCATCAGCGTGTCCAGGCTTCAATAAGCTCCATGTGTCAGAGACTCGGCGAGCTTGTTATTCGTCATGAGTCGGGTGATTTTGCTTGGTCTGTCGGCAAGCGAAAAGGGCGCGACGCACGTCGTCGCCTTATTGTCGGTCGTCGTACTCTGCCTCTGAACAGACATGAGATGCAACCGTGACCCGCAATTGCCGTCTAAGAGATTGCGTGTTCAAAGTCCGAGCAGCGCTTGCATGGAATGTCGTTCAATCAAGTTGAGGCTCTGTCGCGTAGCCGCGGCGTCTAGCGAAATGCGCGCTGGGTTTACGGGTAAAGCCCTGGTGCGTCGCTAGAAAAGCCGGAGAAGGGGTGACGGCACGTTTTTTGGGATTCCAACAAAAAGGAGTCAAAGACAGGGGCCCGCAGTCCACGGGATGCCTGCGGAAAGAAAGAAAAAAAAAATGCCATGCTGTGTACGGTAGGAAAACACGAACAAGCTATCGGCCAAAGTGGAGATCCGACATGTGATCAATCAGAACGCCTAAATGGTTAGCCGGCGAAAATTTTGGATTGTATACCCCACTGCAGGGATTAGCGATGGTACAATAGTGCGACACGAAGACACTTCGCCGTATTCGTATTGGTATTGTAGTGAGTTACCATCGTATGCATGTACCGAACAACACAGAATATCGAGCGCCCCCAACCTTTGCCGATCGGCCATTGATTCATCTGCATCTGAGCTTGGCATCACGGAACGTGGGGATATCTATCGGTTCTCGGGGGGCGTCATGTAGATCCGGGTGGTTGCTGACCCAGCAATCGGTTCTCGGAACAGGAACAACCCTTCTAGAAAGCTAGATGGCTCTGCCCATACCATGCGTAGTAAGCAGTTGCAAACAGGCCTTGGAAGCTAAGCAGGCTTCCCTGGCCGTGATAGGTAAGGGTGCAAGGAGTGGGGCATCGTAGTTGAGGTCATGTTGGGGAAGGGGATCCCAATGCTGGCATAGCCCCAGACCCAAACCAAGTCGGACATTAAACTCACTTCTCCTTTCCCTAATGCTAAACATGCACATTCCTCTTAGACACAGCCCTTCTACGCCTCTGACTTCTTCCCCACACTCTTTCTCCGCTCCTTCTTGGATTGGACGGTGCTTTCCTTTGCCTTATGACCGTTGGACTTTACATCCTTGCCGGCCTCTGTTCCACCAGCCTTCGGCTCCGTTTTGCTCGACTTCTCCTGCACTGCAGGCTCGATCTCAATCCTTTTATCCGCCTTCTTCCCATCCACGACGGGCTCAGTCTTCTCCTCGGTTGTCTTTTTGGCAACTCCGTTTGCAGCTTTGTCGCCCTTGAGTAGGACAGCCCTGGGGTCTTTGCCCTTTCGGCGTAGTTTGCTGGCTTGTGCACGCTCCATGTACTTTTGATCCTCTTCTTCGTCAAAGCCACCAAAGTCTGAGTCGGAATCCTCTCCCTCCAGACGAAGAGGTGTCTTGTCGACAACCTCGAGCTGGTCCATTTTACTTGTGATGTTGTTGCTGTTCCCATTTGGCTTGGTGGCTTCGTTAACGCCAACTGCGTTGGCTGGTGTGGGGCCAGTTTTCTTGAACTTGGCAACAAAGAAGCCATCGACGTTGTAGGTGTGGGGGTAGTATCTTCGCACCATCTACACTTGCTGTTAGTGGAGAGCACGCCAAGCATCCGAATCTTGTAGCTTACCTTCATAGATGGGTGGAATATCTTGCCGCCAATCTTCGTGAAACCCTCCTTACCGAACGTAAGGCCAGTCTCCACGAGCTTAACATTCGGTCGCTTATTCAGCGCATACTGCACCACCTGCTCATTCTCTTCTACCGTGACCGAACAAGTAGAATACACGATGTAACCACCAGTCTTACTGTGATGGTCTACAGAGTCAATAGCTGCAAGGATCAATTGCTTTTGGAGATGCGGGAGTTTCATGAAATCGGCCTCCGTTTTGTTCTGTCCCGTCGTTAGTAAAGACTAGCATACTGGACCCAAGTTGACTCACTGTCTTTACACTCGCGTCCTTTGCGATGACACCAGTACCAGAGCAAGGCGCATCGAGCAATACACGATCGAAGCCACCCATGACCCTAGGGAACTCGAGCGCGGAGTAGTTGCAGACAATGGCATTTCTCACACCAAGACGATGAATGTTACCAATCAAACCTTTGGCACGATCCTTGTTCGCATCGTTGGCAAAGATGCAGCCTGTGTTCTTCATCAAGGCAGCGATATGTGTTGTCTTTCCACCGGGGGCAGCAGTCATATCAAGCACCCTCTCGTTTTCCTGGGGCGCAAGTGCCATGACGGGTAGAAACGAGGAAGCAGCCTGGAGAATGTAGTGACCAGCAAGATATTCGGGTGTGGCACCAAGAGGCACCTGCGACTCGAAGATCTGCAAACCGACCTTTGACCATTTGCCAACAGGTTCAAGTTGTACGCCGCCGATTGATGAGTGAATTGGGGCAGTTTCCCCTGCCAATGTGTACCGGAGGGGTATTCC